CCAAGCACAGCGTGAGCACGCGTGCGGTGCCCTCCTAGGGCCACCTGACAGAGCGCAGGAGGAACAAGGGGGAAAGTGCAGACAAAAGGTGAGGAGCACACCTCCTTCCTTCCGGTAGCCCATCCCGCGCTTCCGAGCACGGCACCACTACTTCTGACCCGTTGGCAAGGTTTCCTGGCGCTGGCTGTAAGGCCCGCACAGCCTAGACCAGCTCTGGGCACCGGCTGTCGTGTGTGACCAACTGCAGCCACGATGGTACTGGAGGCATCCTGAGAAGAGGGACCTTGCCTTATACTGGAACCCCTCCCACAGAAGCCACTGAGAACGGTGATCGAGACTAAGGGCACACCGGGCCGGGACTCACGACTCATCAGAACGTCCGTAGATGGCATTTGCCTCTCAGTCTTGAATGAAGCCTCAGGGTTGAATTTATTAAATATCTACCACGTGCCCTGCACAAGGTTTTGGGAACTCAGAATTAAGGCACTGCTTTAACAGAGGCTGCAGTGTGGAAGCAGACGGGGTGTAGAGGACTGTCTGGACAGGGTCAGTGGCAGGGGACAGTCTGCGGCCGGAGCTGCCTGCTCTTCCGCCTCCCCTTCCCCTCCGGGTCCCCTCTTCCAGCTCTGCCCCGATACTGTCAATCACTGCTCTGACTCTCCCCTCCCAACGAGGGACAGGAACCATGTCTACCTTGTCCCCCGCCGTACGCCCGCCGGCACAGTGCCCATCACACAGCGGAGGTTTCATAAATGTCGGCCGGTTGGTAGTGTGGCTGCCGAGAGGGACTGAGTCAAGGTTTTAGCACGTGGGTTTTGCCAGCACAAAAACCTTCCTTCCAACATTTTTCTAAGCTATTATGAATGATTATAACTTTGAGATTGGACCTTAGGCCAAAGTCCATCAGAACAGTCGAGTGAAGAACCCCGAAGGTTCACACGTTTAACGACGCAGCAACTCTCAGGCTGGCTCAAAACCCAGGGGGGCAGCACGGCATGCCAGTCTGCGGGCTGGCCTTGCCACAAAATGCACCTCAACACCCTTAAATATTTAAGGGCTGGGTTTTTTTCTTTAGATGATGTTCAGCTTGGTGTTGGCTAACCTTGGTTTTTTTTCTAGAAATATGAAAATTTAGTTAAAGTGGGATGAAGTCTTTTCCCATGAAGGTGTCCGCTTACCTCATTATGGCCTATGCTTCTCGCTCTGTTTCTCTCTCTCAATTCCTTTGCCTACCTATGCTATTTTACTTTCTTGGAAAGGTTTAAATATAGTATCAAATTAGCCTGGCACCTCAGGTAACTTGAAGATAACTTACTCTTCTGGCTGCCTTTCATGGCGCTCCCCTTTTAATATACATACCCTTGCAGATTTTGTAACAACCAAATAAAATTCTAGCAATAAATTGAAAAAAAAGATTACAGCCCATCTTTGCTACTTTCTGTTTCACGAGGCAATTTCTAAACACTGGGTATCTTTAGAACCTTACAGTCATAACTACACAGGACTGTGGGAACACAGTCAGGTGAAAACATCGCATTTTAGTCACCATCAGCCTTTTTCTGTTGCCAGAAGACAAAGCCTTAGTCATGCCTATTTTCATAAAAGAAAGCTTCTTGCACACTGTGGTTGATGGCATAATAAGAGCCCACTGCCACCATGCCAATCAAAAGCCCAGAAAATGTGCTTTTTCATGCCTTCATTCCAGCTCTAAGAGTATATCCAAATCACAGATCCTCACAGGATTTTGTCCCAAGGAAACTCAAAATCAAACAAGCCCATTCATTGAGCGTCTCAGAGCATATAAGGCATATTAAAAGATCTCAGAAGACCTTTAGTAAATAAAGCTGTTTAAACCAGTTGTGCCCAAAGTTCTGGTTCACAAACACATTTTTTAGTAAGCACATAGTTAAAGGACCCCATTTTACTGTCAAGTATTGTTTCTTTGGAGACATGTCTTTTGGGGATAAATACTCAGAAGTAGAATCAGTGGGTCAAAGGGTATATACTATTTTTATTTTAACATATACACCAAGCCACCTTCTAAAAAGTCTGGACCAATGTATATTGGCCACACTGAGTGAATCCAACTGTTTAGTTTTACAAATAAGGGAAATGACTCCCCAAACATTCTTTCTCATACCAAGACTGTGATCAGGAAAAAATTTACAGCAAAGAGCACTCTATAGGGCACCAGCACAAACTGGGCAACCAATCTGACTTATTATCAAACTGCAACTCAGAATTCTGTTTCTGACCATGACAAAGTAAGCAGACTTCTCCTCCTGCCCTAAAAAAACTAAAGAAACTAGAGAAAACCTGAGAGCTGTTTTTGACAGTGGAAAACAGGCAGCTTAGGACTGTGACTACCGAGGGAAGGAAAACAAACATTCACTCTGCTGGGCACAATTTCCAAATCACAAAACGGAGAAGGAGCATAAGAGAGCAACAGTCTTGTTGTGCTGCAGAGATGGGGGCAGAAGAGGTAGGAATTTGTAGGGGAGGGTACCAGAGAAGATAGCAAAAGCCAGACTCCCTCAACGTAACATACATAACGTTCAATGAACAAAAAATTCACTATGCATGTGAATAAGCAAGGAAAGGTGACACGTGATCTAAGGGAAAACCTGCCAATAGAAACAGACCCTGAAATGACCCATCTGTTGTAATTAGCAGACACGGGCTGCTATTATAAATATGCTAGTACTATAAATGCATTCAAAGTCATCAAGAAAAAAGATGGCAGCTATGAATGAACAGATGAGAAATCTCAGCAGAAATGTAAACTATGAAAAAGAACCAAATGCCAATTCTAGAAAAAGTACACTATATAAATGAAAAAATTTTTGGATGGTTACCACAGAATATTGGATATTACCAAAAAAAGGTGTGTGTCTGGGGCGGGGGAGATAAAGTGATCTTAAAGAGAGATCAATAAAGATTACCCAAACTGAGGAAAGAGGGAGAACAATTTTTTTTTTTTAAATCACAATCACAAGACAGTATCAAATGGTCTAACATACACATAACTGCAATCCTGGAAGTAGAGGAGGGAATGGGACAGGAAAAAAATGTAAAGAAATGACTGCCAGCATTTCACCCAAATAACATGAAAGACATAAACATTAAGGATCCCAAGAAGGAAAAATACAAAGAAAACTCCACGTAGGCATATCAGAGGCAAACTGGCGAAAAGCAAAATTAACTAGAAAGTAATTGAAAGAAAAAAGACAGATATGGGAGAACTACAAACAACAACAACAAACAGGTTTCATCAGAAACAATGAGGATTAAAAGACGACGTAATAACATCTTTAAGTTGCTAGGGAAAAAACTGTCAATTTAAAATTCTACATCCAGCAAAAATATTTCAAAAATGAGGAGAAAATAAACATATTTGCAGATTTTAAAAAATGGTGGGAGAATTCATCACTGGCAGGTTTGTACAATGAGAAAGGATAAAAGATATTCTTCAGGCTGAGGGGGAAATGATGCAAGTATAAACAAAGATCAACAGAAAGAAATAAAGAGAACTAGATATGGTTAATATGTGGGTAAATAGACTATTTTCTTTTCTTAATTTCTTTAAAATAACAGCACTGTACCATGGGGTTTATAACATACATAGGAGTAAAACACATGCCAACAGTAGCAAAAGGAATTATACTAAAACTATAATTGTTCAAAAAAAAAATTGACAAGTGTTTTTGGAACCTTCAGGAAGTCAAAGGTTTCTTAGAACACACAATATAATAACCACTTTCAGGGACTTCCCTGGTGGCGGAGTGGTTAAGAATCCGCCTGCCAATGAAGGGGACACAGGTTCGAGACCTGGTCCGGGAAGATCACACATGCCGTGGAACAACTAAGCCTGCGCACCACAACTACTGAGCCTGCGCTCTGGAGCCCGTGAGCCATAACTGCTGAAGCCCACGTGCCACAACTACCCAAAGCCCGCGTGCCTACAGCCTGTGCTCCGCAACAAGAGAAGCCACCGCAATGAGAAGCCCGCGCACAGCGAGGAAGAGTAGCCCCCGCTCGCCGCAACTAGAGAAAGTCCGTGCGCAGCAACGAAGACCCAATGCAGCCAAAAATAAATAAATAAGCAAACAAACAAATTTAAAAGAAGAAAGTCAAACAACTCATTGGAAAAAAAAAAAAAAGGAAATAATGCATGAAAAGGTGCTCAACTCATTGGTTACCAAGAAATGAAATTAAACCACAATAAGAAACCATTACACGCTCACCGAAACAGCAAAAATCAACAAGACGAACCATATCAAGTGCTGACAAGGATGTGGAGCAGCGGGAACTCTCGCTGCCAACGGGAGCGCGAGGAGGTACGAGCGCGAGGCGGTACGAGCGCGCCGGGAAACCACTCGGCAGAGTCTCCTACGGCTGAACCTACACTACCCTCTGATCCAGCTACTGCACTCCCAGGTATTTATCTAAGAGAAATGAAAACGTGTGTTCACAAAAGACTTGAACAAGCAGTTCACAGCAGCTTCATTCGTAACAGCAAAGCCCAGAGCGCCTAAGCACCTAATGAGAGAATGAGTAAATGAACCATGAAATAACTGCATCGTAACACATTCCTCTGCAACAAAAATGAGAAGCTATTAACACACACAGTGGTACAGGTCAACCTCAAAAACATGCTGAGAGAAGCAGGATGAAGGGGCAGCTCTCAGCTCTCATGGACCCGTGGGCCGTGCGAGTCCATCTACACAGGCAGGAAACGAGCCTCCAGGGACGGATCCCAGCACTGGTGGTGGGGGGTGGGGGGCGGGGGTACGAGGCAACTTTCAGGGGTGATGGGCGTGGCTAAACATTCGTCAAAACTCACTGAGCAGCACACTTACAATGCGTATTTCTTTGTATCTCAATACAAGAACACTTAAAAAAAAATGCAACGGAAGCTTTCTGGGGAGAAAAGGTCAGAAGGATCTGCTGAGAATCGGAGAGGGTTGATTCGTTTTAAAATAAAGGACAAAACAGAATACCTGTTAACTCTTCTTGGGCATTTCTCTGGCTTGATATCCAATTCATAATGATAGATGTCAATTTTTGGAATGTCCATTTCAAAGAAGTTGGCCTGTAACTTGATCGTTCTCCCGGAGGTCCCGAAGTCGGGTCTGGGTGGAGGCTTGAAGGCATACCCTTGGACGGGTGGCGGTGGCGGTGGAGGAGGGGCAAGCACTGGAAACGGCAAAGAGAACCCTGTTACCCAGGGCCCACGCTGAGAGGAGGCTGGCGCCTGCCCCCGGCACGCTGCCCTCCCCACCCCGCTGGACCCCGCCATCCCAGGCCCGCCGGCACTGCCACCCCCTCCTCCCCCCCCCGAAACTGATGCCCCACCCCGCCCGGGGCCACCTCATCGCAGAGCGCCCCAGTGCCAGGCTCAAGGCCCCCCAGAGCGCACCCCTCCTCGGCTACTCGGCCGCGACACTGCACCTCACCCTCCTTGCTCAAAGGTTTCCCTCCCCGGTCCCCTCCTCGCTCACCGACCCTCTTCACTTCTTCAGACAGCCTCACAGTTCCAGCCCTGCACCCGCAGTTCAAAGTCCTTCCCCCAGGCCTGCGCCTCCACCGGTGAGGCTGTGGTCTACTCCACTGTCAAGACCCTTCGTACACATTCTTCACGGCCAGTTGCTCAACAGTGCTCATCGTTTTACCCGCTTTTCTCTCTAACTCCTCCTTTCCTATCCATCTCTCTCTGCCTCAGCTCGGGTTCCCATTTCATCCTAGTGGGGGCTCGGCTTCCAGGCCCCTCACCCACTTTCCACACATTCTGATCTCACCCTGGCCAGATACCTTCGTGGCCCCCCAGCACGTGGCCCCGACATTTAGGCACTCACGTCTCGGCCTTATCTTCTGCAGCTCTAAGAACCCTCCCCACCAAGAACCAGCTTCACACTTCAGAGCCCTGCACATGCCAGCTCCTGCCCAAGAATCCCGAAGAATCCGTTCACTCCTGTAGCCCTCGCGTGTCCAGCTCACTTCATTGGCATTTCCAGGACGAGTCTGCCGCACCGTGCTGTCATCACACTTGGCTCTCTGCCTGGCTGGCTGGACCACGAGCAGCCTGAGGATCAAGGTCTAAGCGAGCACCTGACGCACACGAGCCCAGAAACACTGGATCCAGCCTTGGGAAAGCCCAAGCTCGGACAGGCAAAGGAAGGTTGCCAAAGTCGCTCACAAAGTGTCCTCTGCCGCGGACCACCGAAGTCACACAGGAAGGTGTGTGCAACATCAAGAGTCAAGAACGTGGGCTTCCCTGGTGGCGCAGTGGTTGAAAGTCCGCCTGCCGATGCAGGGGACACGGGTTTGTGCCCCAGTCCGGGAGGATCCCACGTGCCGCGGAGCAGCTGGGCCGGTGAGCCATGGCCGCTGAGCCTGCGCGTCCGGAGCCTGTGCTCCGCAATGGGAGGGGCCACAGCAGTGAGAAGCCCGCGTAGCCTCCCAACACCAACACTCACACACAGACCTTGACACTGCGCCCCCGAGTACCACTTCCTACACCACAGTCCCTCTTCCAGGGACTTCCGACAGCTGTGCTTGCGTCAACATGGTAGTCAACTACCCCTGCCATCTCTCTCCTGGAAGCCAAGACTCAACACCCCCTTCTCTGCAACAGACCAACCTTTCCACAAAGGAGTCTCAGCAGTAAAGCCAATTCGTTACTTAAAAGTGCTTTATAATATACCTCCTTGGTTACCATGCTTGCCACGTACACTTCTGTTCTCTTTCTCTGCATGTGAGAGATTAAAGATGGGGCAGTGTGAATTGTTAGCAAATGAGACAAAGCCAAAGGGGTGAGACTCATATGGAATTAAAGGGACCCAGACCGTCATGACAGTGTCCCCCCTCCATGACTCTTAAATCCATTAACTTAATCTAGGAGTGCTTCCCCCCCACCCCCAACAGTTAAAAAAAACAAAAACAAAACAAAACAAAAAAACACTTTGTCCCAACTCGAATTTTCAGTAATTCCATTAATAAAATTCAAAGTCGCTTTAGGAAAAGAACCAACAAAAAAAATTTCCGATTAACAGTATACCTTTAATTTTCGCTCAAATATCTTTGTTTCAAAAAAGTTCTCATTTTAAAAAAAATTCCATGTACTGCAATCCCTACTGACATTCACTGGAAAGAAAAGTACTTACTCTACAAAAAATAATAGCAGCTGTTCTTACTGTATTTCTGACATAGTAAAACTCAGGGAGTCTTTGAATTACTTGTTTTATACTTTGGTTTCTTTCTATGAGAAAACAAACATGCTCTAAAGGTTATTAATCTCATTGAGCTAAACCATCTGGAGACCTTTGGGTCTCTCTCCACTAAGCTACTATGACTTCATAGATGACATATTCGCAGCCTTTCACAACAGCCCATCCCTTCAACAAGCACGCCTGGGTGCCCCTTACGTGCTGGGTAGCGTGCCAGAGACCAGAGATACAAAAATAAACAGAGTTCTCAAGCCGCTCACACATCACCTCCCAGGAGAGTGTCTGAGTGCAGGACACCCAGTGGATTACCGTGTTTACTTCTCCACAGTCAGCTGGTCACACGGGGTCCTCGCACTGAGGGTCCTGACCACGCCAAGGAGGGGACACCACTTGCTCCCTGGGGACAGATGCAGACTCTCTGCACTCAGCACCGAGTGCCCACTGACATGAGGTCCCTGTTCTCAGGTGGACTCCCACCTGGCAAGAGGAATCTTGTGAATGTGGAGTCAAGGTTAAACCTTCGTGTCCCAGGAAATGTCCAGCCACAGAGCCACAGAAATCTGGCCCAGGAACCGGAGCGCGATCCACACTGAAGGGAGTCCCAGCTACAAAGCGCTTTCACAGTTTCCTTTCTTGCCGTTGATTTACAGTATCATGTAAGCTTCACGTGTACAGCACAGTGATTCAGTTTTATACATACATATATACATTATACCCACACATATATTTATACACATGTATGTTCTTTTTCAGAATCTTTTCCCTTATAGGTTATTATATAATACTGAGTATAGTTCCCTGTGCTATACAGTAGGTCCCTTCTGGTTCACGTTTCCTAATTGCGCCTCACAGCTACGGAGCAAAGGGGTCGCCTGTGAACTGTGAAGCTGTCCAAGGCCCAGGGAGTAGTAACACAGCTGGCGTGCCCACTCCATCCCACTCCCCAGGCTGCCCCCGCCCCCGCCCGCCAGCTGTCAGTCCCCAGCCTTACCTACCTCTCAGCAAGGCAGGGTCAGGCCTGGGGCCCACCTCTCAGGCTGAGCCTACGCCTCCTATACCCCCAACACCCACCACTTGGACACAATAAGCCGCGGGAAAGAAGGAGAACAGTTCACCAGTTTGCGTCACTAACCTGTATTAATAAAAGCAATGGGGAAAATGCAATGGTAAATTATTTATAAAATATATAATTTCATAAGATATTTCTTCCTTGCTTCTAGATTTTAATAATGAAAATACCGACAGTTCGTGGGGAGCGTATGGAATATAGAGTCACAAGTTAAAGCCCTCTAAGCAGAGGGAACAGGGTGAGGACCTGTGTGGCTTTTTTTTTTCTTTTAATATAGAGTTATTGATTGATTGATTTAGGTTGCATTGGGTCTTACTTGCTGCGTGTGGGCTTTCTCTAGTTGCGGCAAGCGGGCTTCTCATTGCAGTGGCTTCTCTTGTTGCAGAGCACGGGCTCTAGGCATGCGGGCTTCAGTAGTTGTGGCGCGTGGGTTCCAGAGCGCAGGGTCGGTAGTTGTGGCGCACGGGCTTAGTTGCTCCGCGGCATGTGGGATCTTCTCGGACCAGGGCTTGAACCCGTGTCCCCTGCATTGGCAGGCGGATTCTTAACCACTGCGCCACCAGGGAAGCCCAGGACCTGTGTTTCATACCTTTGGGAAGGAAACTCTCCCACCGAGGGTCATGAAAACTGCGCCAGGCCTCAGTCCTGAGACACCTTGGATCTGTTTTTCTGACGCGTAGGGAGTCCCAAGTGTAAACTGCCGGAACAAGCAGGAAGATCCACACACAAAGCTCCGGAGAGGAAGCAGTGGAGCAGTGGAAGCGCAGAGCTCCACCCGTGCTGGGGAAGGGAAGCGGGACAGGAGGGGAGAGGGAGGAGGTGTCAGCTCTTGGCCCCGAGGCTAAAAGGAGGGACGAACGGGCACATGCGCGCGCATGTGACACAGGGGAACCGAAAATCCAGCCCACATCACCTAGAGTTGAGCTCTCCAGGGGCTCCCCTCACACGGCCCGCGGCCCCTCGCAATGCAGCAGGAATGGGGGCTGCCACGCACAGGTGCACCGGACGGGCGGGGTGTCGGAGGGAAAGGGTGAGGAGGGGACGTGGGGAGAGCCCAGAGCACAAGCTCCCTGCTCGGCCTTCTTACCCTGGGCTCCCAGGAGCACGTGCCACCAACACCTACAAGCAAATGGAAGCCCGAGGCCCAGCCCAAGACGAGGCAGCGTCTGGGGAGGAGTTCACGGAGCTGGCGTTAAGCCAACTGGCTGTGGCGCCAGCCGCCTGCTCAGCGGGGACCCAGCCCCAAGTGCCTACCCACCTTCAGGTGCCACCTCATCTCCCCCGCTCCTGCCATGCTGGCAGGCCGAGCGAGCGCCCCCCAGCTTCCGAGCCCTCTCACATCTCCTCCCCTCTTCACGGAGAAATTCAGGTCTGACCTTCCTGTGAGAACGGCCGGCAGCCCCACCGCCTCGCTGCTCCCAACCCCAGGCAGCCCGCACAGCACATTTCCCATCCAGCGACTCATCCAACAGTTTTGTTTGGAATGGATTTCCCGCGGTTAGGCTTGCCTCTGCACGGGGCAAAACCTTTGGGATCGGGAAGGCAAACGCTTCTTTCTCATCCAGCAACACTGGCTGTCACGGCGGGCAAGGACTCGTCCACAGCAACTACCAGCACAGCCCCAGCGCTTCAGTGACTCGGCCACCAGCCCCCGTTCCTGACCAGAGTGCTGCGGGCAGGAGTCCCCGAGCCTGAGAACCCAGCACAGCGTCAGGGACAAAGCAGGCACGAGGGTTTGCCGAGTTGCTGCCGAGGTGTGTTTAAAATTTCCATCGTTAGAGCCACAGCTCAATCAGTGAAAGGGAAACATGTAGTGAATGAGTAATCGACTTCCTGTATGAGTAACCGGCTCATAGAAACCAGAAAGCTTTCAAGAGATTCCACGGGAGGCGAGCCTGTCATTGCACTGGGCGTCCTGCAGAAACCCACGCCCAAGGTCTGGACTGTCGCTGGCCTGTCAGAGGAAGAGGAAGGTCCCAGAGCAGGGCTGTGGGACACCTGCCCTCACCATCTCTTGGCAGCCCCTCGCCAGCGCTGCTCGCCCGTCCCAGCGCCCCCCCCCCGCCCCACCGAGCGAGGGATGGAGACACACGGACGCAAACCCACACACTCACCCCTCCTCTCTCCCACCCGGAACTGGGGACGCAGGTCACACACCCGAGGAGCCAAGGAGATCCCCTGAGACCGCTGCCTACATGCACCAGCACGGGCAGGGCCCCAAGACACGAGGCGACCTCACGGCAGCTAAGACCCCCTCCAAGAGAAGGAAGTTTGGCCTCCTTCCGAATGTGCCAGGTACCCAAGAGCTCGCGGCGGGGCCATTCTTCACCGACTAGATCATGGGGCCCGCCCTAAAGCAGCACCTGTGGGTAACTTCCACTCAAGGAAGCCGTCTCGTTTCCTTACCCATGATGGTAGACGCGGGCGACCGGGTGAATCTTTCCTACACTGCAGTCTTCTCTCTGATTATCACCCTTATTACAGAAGATGTAGAAAAGTACAAAGAAAATTTAAATCATCTGTTACACCAGAAGTTGACTAACAGGCAAAGCTGGGACTCAGACACAGGTCCTGTTGTCATCAGAGCATGTGAGGTTTGCCACCAAAGCGGAGCTGCCTCAAGTCCTTCTGAGAGAGTAGACAAGGTTTAAATCAAACAAGGGACTTCCCTGGTGGTCCAGTGGTTAAGAATCCACTTTCCAATGCAGGGGACGCAGGTTCAATCCCTGGTTGGGGAACTAAGATCCCACATGCCACGGAGCAGCTAAGCCCATGCACTCTAGGGCCCACTCCCCTCAACTAGAGAGCCCACACGCTGCAACTACTGAGCCCATGCACCACAGCTAGAGAGAAGCCCGCGCACTGCGACAAAGAGCCTGCGCGCCACAACTAAGACCCCACGCAGCCAAATAAATAAATAAATAAATATATATTTTAAAATACACTCGGGGGACTTCCCTCATGGTGCAGTGGTTAAGAACCCACCTGCCAATGCAGCAGACACGGGTTCCAGCCCTGGTCCGGGAAGATCCCCACATGCCGCAGAGCAACTAAGCCCGTGCGCCACAACTACTGAGCCCGCGTGCCACAACTACTGAGCCTGTGCACTCCGGAGCCCGTGCGCCACAACTAGAGAGAAGCCCGTGCGCCGCAACTAGAGAAGCTGTGCGCTACAACGAAAGATCCCACGTGCCGCAACTAAGACCCGACGCAGCCAAATAAATAAATATTTAAAAACAAACAAAATTAATAAGAGAGATGCACTAACAGTGCATAATAATCTAGCCTCACCAAGTTCATTCAATTAGCATTTCAGAGCATAATCATAGCTGCCACTTACTGAGGTCTGTGTACCAGACAAGCAGAAAACACAGGGCTGTCTTGTCACGTGGCAGCGGTCACGGACGCCACAATGTACGTTTAAAACCTGAAGCTACTTCAAAATCATGATGTTCATTAGACCTGCTGCTGGACCTTGTTATTAAAGGTGGTAAAGGACCCATTTGTTACTCTGTCACCCTTTTGGTTTGGTATTTTGATAACTATTTCAATACAACCAGTTTTCTTTGTCATCCTATGTATTTTGTTCTTTGCTTTAAAAAACATTATTCTGGAAAGGGATCCATCCACAAGCGTCACCAGACTGACAAAGAGGCTCATGACTGCACACTTTTGGGAACCACCTGCTCTAGGGGCACAGGGTGGCCTCATCTCTAAGCAGAGAGGAGAGTGTTTCGGCTGCTGATAACGTCACAAAACCTCCGTGGTCTCTGTGGCGGTGTGGAGGGTGGGCAGGTCTGACGTCCCTCCACCAGGAACAGCCCTGCAGACAGCACCACGCCCTGCAGGCCCACAGGGGCTCTGTCTCCATGGCTGCCCTGAGATCACCCATCCCTGACGTGATGTGAGCTCACGATTTACCGGCTGCCATGACAACAGGCTCTCCAGGCTTCTTCTGCTCATCACACGGGCCCGCCTACCACGCTGCTGAGTTGGGAATCAGAAATCAGACATCCTGATAAGGCCTGACAGCAGTGCCCCAGGGCCCACGGCTCTACCCGCGCTGGGCACCTAGGGCCATGGGAGCGGATCCTGGGAAGAAGCTGTTCCAGGGTGAGCAAGGGGACAAGCATAGCTGTTCAGAGAAGCTCTTCATTCCAGATGCTGTTTTCTAAGTACTTAGGCACATGGAACTGAACTTTCAAAAAACTGCAAACCACATTAGGTCAGGCACCCGGATCTGGAATCCACTTGGCCTCCGCCCCTGCCCCTTCACTCCAGCTTTCACGGCGCATCTGCTGTTACAAGCACAAACGCAAAGGTCTGGGTGCCAGCTTATACCATCAGGCCGAGAACAGCATTCCTGACCACGGTCGACTTGAAATAAATCACAGAACCTGAAGGCTGGAGTCACCTTGGACAATCTTGGAGACCCAGAGGAGACAGCAACTCACCCCCACCTGCTCTAAGCCATCAACTGTGAGCCGGATCTGGGCAGGTCTGGGGGCCTGGTCTCGGGGAGGCCCAGGAAGCAGCACAAAGGTACCAAGCAGCAAGTACCAGGACTGCCCAGAAGGGGCCCAGGGCTGCCGGCCACGGCCCGGCCCGGCCCCGCCCCTTCCACCA